CCCCAAAACCCCAAAACCCCAAAACCCCAATTCCTATTAAATCGTTGATCAACCACTAGAATAAGATAACTAATAAAACAAAATTCATATTTAAAACAACCTAACCCAACCCACACCTCCACAAACCCTACCTACACATCCCACCCCAAATCCGTTCTAACTCTTCCTCTTACTCTCTTCTCACTAAAACGATTCTCACCCGTTCCTCCCTCCATAAAAATGCCCCTCTTCTCAGCCTCTGAAACTCTAAAAGTTCCACTCCCTTGGTTTTGTCAAGGGAGATAGAAGGAAGAGAGAGGGCTGGGAGTGTTGATAGGGAATGAGGCAGGTGGGATTTTGGCGGATTTTTGTATTGAAGTTTGTGATTTTGGAGTAAAAATAACGAATTTGGATTGTATTTAAATTATGTAATGAGAATTCGTTAAAATAGTAACCACAGATTAAACGAGAAAACTCCATCAATACTGGTTTTTCTTAAGGTTCCAATTAGATAGAACAAGTGGTTATCATTAGCAATTATAAGATCCCTTACAGTATTTAATGTAAAGCTATTTAAAACATAAAACACCCAACTTTGTAAATCAAATACAGCAGCATCAGTAAAATGGTCACTGCTGTGATGACTCTGTACGCGACAATGTTTTTGATGCTTCTGAACCCATGCGAATCCGGAGCCAGTTTTGCATACTCTTGCTTGTGAGCATTGGGCTGATCACCTGTGAAACCTTTAGAAGTCTGCTTGAAAGTAGCCAGAAGTCCGAAGTGGTCGGAAGATTGCAAACAGAACCCACCGATGCGCTCTTTGGCTACCATTTGGATATCGATGAGGTCGAATGCGTTGGAGGGTTTGAGGCAAATCCTGTCGAGTCTCATTCTTCTGTTATCTAGAGGATGCATCCACCCTGACATAATGTTCTCTTGAGGATCCCAAGAGTAGCCATCAAAATGGGAATGTCTCTCAAGCCAGAGATCATGAAATCCATATTGGTCTCAGATTTTGCTTTCTCCTGGGTAATGCAAGTTTAGATCACCTAACAAGAAGATGGTATCTTTAGGAGACTTTATATTTAACTCTTTAAGTTTCCTGTCTATAAACCACATTTCCTGTGCCCTTTCAAAAATGTTTTGTTCATGACCTGACAGGTGAACTCAAATAACAATAAACTGCTGTGTTTCCTTAGTGATTCTAACTATCACAAACTTTTCATCTTGACTGTTGAGTCATTCCATGGGATATTTTGACAAAATCATTGGGCTGCGACCATACTTGGCACTAGGAGTGGCCTTAGTCCTTGTGTATCCTCCTTTTTTGTAAAAAGTGGAATTTTTCAACATACTAATGTATGCCTCGCTGACCTCTTGAAGACAAAGGACATCTGGAGCTAAGTCTGGAAATAAAGATTCAAAATGGTAAGAATATCTCTTTTCATAATCAGCAAGATACTTAATTAATTTTTCAGGAACTATATAAGTATTATTAATTGGGTGCAGGACATTGTAACTTAAGAGTGTCAAATCAACTTCTGGGCTATCTTCAGCTTTTGTTTCACCAAAATTTCTCAAATAAGGTGAATCTGAACTCATATTAGATATAATTATTAATTAATTTCACAAATTTTATTTATAAGAGGGGTTTTGGGGTTTTGGGGTTTTGGGG